AAAAAAGTTAATAAATTAAATGAAACATAAAATTTGTTTTAAACGCATGCGTGAATACTACAATAACAATTTTGCCATGTATTGAAACTACTTAATTATATACACAAAATGTCACCACCACTTAACAACAGTTAAAGTTAAATAATAAATAATTAAATAAAATAATTATGTTTTGGCAACACATAACAAACTATTGCTTAAAAATGTCGAACTAAATAACGGATTATTATTTTGTTATTGAATCAATTACAAATTTGTTCAAAAATATATTCCCGAAAACGTTTTTTTGACTTCAACCGATATTAATAATCTTGTATATTTAAAATATCATCGATAAATACTCTAAGCCTCACTATAAATATACCCTTAATCAAGTTAAAATTTATATTATCGATGATGCGCTCTTTTTGACATGGGTCAACTATATACATACATACTTCACACATTTTGATCATGTAGTGTTAAAAGCATTTTTTTTAGGATTTTGATTAATTTCGATGCATTAGACCGATCTTAAAAAATTTGGTTTATGAATTTATGTTCTAGGTCCTCTATGTAAAACCTTATTTGGTTTTACAGAGGATTGGTGATATAATGGACCTATTAATGGACAGAGGATTGGTGATATAATGGACCTATTACAAACTTGTTTCAATAGGCTTAGTCTTTGTATGCTTTTGTCTTAATTTTGATGCACTAAATATAGACCGATCTTAATTGGGTTTATGAATTTATGTTCTAGGTCCAGCCTAATTTGGAGGTCAAAATGTAGAGGGGATTGGTGGAATAATGGACTTATTTCAAACTTGTTTCAATAGGCTTAGTTTTTAGGAGACCTTTATGACAAATTAAAAGAAAAATTATCTCGAAAATTGCGACCTGAACAGTGATGATAATATTTAGATGGATATATGGATGGGCATTCTTAAATAGACTCAGGAAGTCTCTTGATTGTGAGTCGTTTAAGGTGGCTATAGAACCAATATTTTTGGGTGTTATAGGAATAAAAATTATAATAATTAACCTTAGTTCCGAATAAAACAAGTAACACTATGTACGTCCAAATCCGACTAAAGGCAGCCTAATCGAAATAAACCAATTTTTCGAAATAGGCCTTCTATGTATATGTGTCTCTCATTTGTTCGCAACTTCATTATATTAATAACGTTTTAAGGTTAGTTATTAAATTCAGAGGTAGACTTTATATTGGGGCTATTACCAATAACGATCCGACCATTACGAAACTCTCTAATAAGATTTTTCTATATATAAACTTGATTTGTGTCCGATGCCAGATGGTTTGTTTTCCTATAGAACTTCAGAGTAGGACTAATTAAATTGATAAATTGATATAATCTAGTGTTAAAATTATCTGTTCTCTTCAAAATTGGTTAAAGATACTCATGTAAATATAATGTGAATAATTTTATTGTTATAACAGAAATTGTGATTTTCGGTTGAATTCTATACTCGAGTTCCCCTGAGTACAAATGTTATTGACAAAATGTTTTATATTCAAACACAAGTTTTCATTATTATCAATTAAATCTGCAGGCCTAATTTAACAAATCAGTTACCTGTTTCAAAAACTGCACAATCTTGATTATAGGAACATCTGTTTGAACTGGTAACTTTTGTGTTTTAAGTAATCGCCATGTCGATCTTACTTCCCTTACTATGCTGGTTTAACACGGCAAGTAAGTGTAGTCGAGCATGTGCGACTGTATAAGATCCTACAGATGAGGAATATGTCTTCAGTTATGGACCGATCCTTGCACATTTATCTGAATAATGGCGAATTAATTAACAATATCAGTTCTACAACATATTCTACAATCACCAATCAACAGTATATTCAAGATCCTAATTGACTTGGACACGATATAGCAATACAAGACATGATATAAACCAAACCAGAGAAACTAGGTTTCTGAAATTTTCCATATATATTCTTTATTTACGTTTGGTATATAATACATATGTTAGTTTCGTGGACCCAGAAACTATTCAGTAAAGTATATTAAACTTTATAACAATATATAACGATAAAATTTGATGCAGACAGAGTTTATAAGTATAAAAGACGCACTTCGAATAAAAATCGGTTAATAAATAAAATAAAATCGGCTAATAAAATTCCTTAGTGTTTGGTCCATAATTGGCGTAGTTCCCCATAAAAGGCTCTCTTGTTCATATTAATATCGATAAACAATATATCAATACGATATATGGGCCGGACCTGCCTTCACAACGCTCGATATATAGATTTTTTTAACTAAGCTAAAACCAAGATATTTAAGAGATTCTTTTTATAAAACATATCAAATAAATAAGTAATTCATTATAATAAATTCCGAAAGGGTTGGTTCATCTCCGTCATAGCCGAAGAGGACGCTCTTACTTGTTGAATATAAAAATTAAATAGTCTATGCCCTATAATAGACCTGTCATAATGGATTATAATGTAATAGATGGTATTATTAGATATTTTTATAAAAAATTTTATCATAATACCGAAAAGATTTACTAGAAGACCTTCTATGATGCTTTATTTCACAGAATTTGATAGCACCTTAGTGGGGCCTTATAGGGTATCTAACTATATTAATTAAGGATTGATCGCAATGAAATTTAGAAGAGAACTTTAACTTATTTTTGGAAAACTAGTCTATTGACTAGTATGTGAAGTAGTAGATTGAGTAGTTTCTGGACTAGTTTATTGAGTAGGCTATGGAATATACTATTGAGTAGTCTATGGAATAGTATATTGAGTAGTCTATGGACTTGTCTATTGAGTTGCCTATGGACTACTCTATTGAGTAGTCTATGGAATAGTCTATTGAGAAGTCTATGAAATAGTCTATTGAGTAGTCTATGGACTAGTCTATTGAGTTGCCTATGGACTAGTATATTGAGTAGTCTATGGACTAGTCTATTGAGTAGACTATGGAATAGTCTATTGAGTAGTCTGTGTAATAGTCTATTGCCTAGTATATAGACAAGTCTGTTGACAATTCTATTGACTAGTCTACTGACTAGTCTATTGACTAGTGTATTGACTAGTATACTCTATAGTCTATAACCAGTCTATTGACTAGTCTATTGACGAGTCTACTGACTGATCTATTGACTAGTCTACTGACTAGTGCATTGACTAGCCTATAACCAGTCTATAGACTAGTCTATTGACCAGCCTATTTACTTTTCAATGGACTATTATATTGACAAGACTATTGACCGGTCTATTAACTAGACTATTAACTAGTCTATGGACTAGTCTATTGAGTTGCCTATGGACTACTCTATTGAGTAGTCTATAGAATAGTCTATTGGGTTGTCTATGGACAAGTATATTCAGTAGTCTATGGAATAGTTTATTGAGTAGTTTATAGAATAGTCTATTGAATAGTCTATGGATTTGTCTATTGAGTTGCCTTTGGACTACTCTATTGAGTAGACTATGGAATAATCTATTGAGTAGTCTGTGGAATAGTCTATTGCCTAGCCTAGACTAATCTGTTGACAATTCTATTGACTAGTCTATTGACTAGTGTATTGACTAGTATACTCAAAAGTCTATAACCAGTCTATTGACTAGTGTATTGACGAGTCTACTGACTAGTCTACTGACTAGCCTATTTACTTTTCAATGGACTATTATATTGACAAGACTATTGACCGGTCTATTAACTAGACTATTAACTAGTCTATAGACTAGTTATGGAGTAGTATATATATATATATATATATATATATATATATATATATATATATATATATATATATATATATATATATATATATATATATTGACTAATCTGTTGACTAGTTTATTGATGAAGTCTGTGGAGTATTCTACTTGTACTATCTACTTGTCTATGGACTACTCTATCGATTAGTCTATTGACCAGCTGGTTTATATAACTATTGACAAGTCTGTGGACTAGTCTATTGACAACTATATTAATCAGTATGTTGACAAGACTAATTAATGGTCTATTGACTGGACCATGAACTAGTCTGTTGAGTAGTCAATTGAGTTGTCTATTGGCTGGTCTATAGAGTAGTCTGTTGACTAGTCTATAGAGTAGTCTATTGACAAGTCTACTTAGTATGTATACTGACTAGCCTATTGACTGGTGTATGGGCTAGTCCATTGACAAGTCTGCGGACTAAACTACTGCGGTATTTTTCGATGTCAAAAAGTCCTAAAAAAAGGTATTTTTGTAATGAGTTTTTCATGTCAATTGTAGCTACAGTAGGGTATAAACATTATCTCAAGTTTATCAGTCAGACAGACATCCTTACCAGTATTTAAATTATTTAGGCTTTTTCTGTATGATTCCCATGTAAACTTGGTAAAAGATGTGGGTCAAAAGATACGTACATTTGTATATTTGAATACAGAAAAGTTTCCCAAATAAAAATGTGTGTGCCAAAAACCAAGACGTGTCAGAATTATTTATGCAGCTAAACTTCAACACTCATTCTTTAGCAACTTAACAAACATACTTAACTATACATGACATACATACAGGAAAACTTAAATTTTGTTTAAGTGATTTATTTAATATTTTTTTTTTCTTTAAACTCAATAGAATTGCAATAAAATATATAGAAAAAAAATCATCAACAATAAAGACAATATTTAATTGAATTGAAATAAAAAAAAAATACAAAAATAAACCAGCTATAAAAACAACTTTATTACAACGACAACAACAATATAATCGTTACTTATATGGAATTTTAATTAATTTTTGTTTTTTTTTTTTCAAATTTATGTATTTTATTAGACATTTTTTAGTTGGTCACCTCTTGAGGCAAAGTGACTGTGTGTGTGTGTGTAAAGAAAGAATTTTATAAAATAAAATATTGGAAATAATGTAAAAATTATCAAAATTTACATACAATAAAATGCATTAAAATATTTTGACCACTTTTTCTTTTTAGTTAAATTTTTTATTTTTTTTTGCTCAAGAACAAAAAAAAAATGTGTGTTTTATGCAAAAAAATTGTAAGTTTATAAAAAATTATTCTTACAAAAAGTTTAGTAAAGTTTTCTACTCGTCTTAAAACGTATGTCTACAATATTTGCTGAATTTAATATCGTTCAAAACAAATGAAAATAAATGAAACTCGAAAGTATTAAAAAGGATTTCAAATTAAAGTCTGACAGACAGACATATGTATGTTGTATATGAAGAAAATATTAAAAAAAAAGTTTAAAATTTAAATAATAATAAAATGTTACAAGAATTACTATAAAAATAAAATAAAAAAAAATAAAATAAATAAATAAAATAATTTCAACGTTTTCATCATCATCAACATGGTGCAAGCCATAGATATAGCCGCGATAACTGGTCACAATGAAATGGTAATTATTTATAATTTATAAAATTTTAGTTTTATTTATTATTTTTACTATTTAATTAATTAATAAAATTATTAAACTAATAAAATTTTATAAAAATTTCAAAAATAACAACTGCTTCCCAGAATTTTTTATAAAAATTTAAAGAAATGTTTGCTGTTTTTCGAAGTATTAAAGTTAATAGTGGAATTGAAATGAATATATTCATATAATACCCTACACCACTATAGTGGGGAGGGTATTATGCGTTTGTGCTGATGTTTGTAACCCACCTCAGCATCACTTTCTTAGCCGGGTTAACTATGTCCGTCCATCTGTATGTCTGTCTTTCCATGTAAACCTTGTAAACACCATAACACCACTAGAGTGGGAAGAGCATTATGCGTTTGTGCTGATGTTTGTAACCCACCAATCGGCTCAGAATCACTTTCACATAGCCGAATTAGCTATGTCCGTCTGTCTGTCGGTATGTCTGTCTGTCTGTCTGTCTGTCTGTCTGTCTGTATGCCTGTCTGTTCATGTAAACCTTATGCGCACGCTACACCACTATAGTGGGGAGAGTATTATGCGTTTGTGTTGATGTTTGTAACCCACCTTAAAGTATACCAATCGTCTCAGAACCACTTTCTGAGCAGGGTTAGTTATGTCCGTCCGTTTATCTGTCTATCTATGTGTGATACCATTAGAATTAGTGACGCATCTATGAGACAGTCCAGAACATGGAAAAGAGCTCTACCTAGATATAGTAGCCTGTGCTCCTGTAAGGCTGGGCAGTCACCGATTCCTCTTCTTCCAAGTTCAAACAGCTTCTAGAGTAGCTATAACGTGGTTAGTACATACGTTCCGACATATGTCATATAGTGCCCAGTAATTATACCAGTAAGAAGTCTAATCGAGTTTTTACTAAAGACAAAAGAGTCCAAGTGGTGATATTTGACCAACTGAGTCCTATCTCACTCAAAGCCCAGTCATCTATCTATCTATGATAAGGTGACCAGAGGAGTGTAACCTTGGTTGGGCATTTCCCCGGATGGCCTCATGTCCTGTAACCCATATGAACTCAACGTGATGTTGTGTCAGTTTTGCCAATGATTGAATACAATTGAGAAGACATTTCGATTAAATAACATTGGAGTTAAGAGCCTTGATTGATACAAGGCTGTCCAAGTATATATATATATACATATATATATATATATATATATATAGTCGAATTTTCGAGATTCAATTCGCGGATTCTTCTCGCGACTGTACCGATGGCATACATCTCTGCATGAAAGATCGTGCAGGTGTCAGGTAGTCGAACAGGCAGCTGTTCGGAGAAAATTCCCGATTCCTTGCCCCTTTCTGTCTTTGAACCATCATTGTAGATTGAAATCACGTCGTCCTTTAGGGCAATGTTCGCGGCCCCATTATCTCTTGTCGGTATTCTTGTCTTGAATGACTTATTACTTATAATAAGTCAATATCACCTTTAAATTATGCATAAATAACTTTAATGTGGACGTAAATTCCTCTACCAAGGTTTATAAGGATAGGCACCTACTAACCCCTGACCCCATCTCTTTTTTTGCCCACAAATTGTTAAAATATTTCTTAATTATGGTAAAAATCGAATTAAATGCTTTATTATTAAAAATAAACCACATTTTTAACCTTATCAATATTGTAGGGTATTATATGGTCGACCATGCCCATCTACACATTCTCACTTATTTATTATTAAATTAACCTTGAAATCTATACTTACATTAAAGAAAATATTATAAATTAATAATTTCTTTATGCAATTGTTAAAGTGATATATAGATGTGTTAGACATATTTGCAAGGATCACGGGGATATACAACAGACTCAATTTACCAACACATGATAAGAGTGACATGTGGGATAAAATTGTATTAGTAATCGGAATAATAATAAAAATGACAGGATATGTATGTAATAAAAACAAAAACTATAGAAATTGTTTTTTTTTTTTTTTTTTTTGTACGTTTATTTGGAAAGAAATTCATATAAATACATGTTAAACTTAAAATAAACAAAAAGTATAAATATAATTAATGATACTCTGTCCCTTTATTCGGGCTCTCTAGCATAATAATATTTCAAGACATTTAATATAATTTTCATTAATAATAATATCTTTTTAAATTAACATGTTAATAATATTTATAATATAATTGTAAGTGAAAAATTACAAAAAAACTTACTTTCATATTGCAAACTATAGAAATTGTTATAAATGTAAGATGATGATAAGCCAAACAAATTGATACTTTTAGATTAATATGTATAACTGAACAGTGGTGCGTTATATAGTCTTTGCTATAGTCTATAATTTAGTCTAGTCTATAGTCTAGTCCATAGCCTAGTCTATAGTCTAGTCTACAGTCTATTCTATAGTCTATAGTCTAGTCTACTAGTCCATTCTATAGTCTATAGTTTAGTCTAGTCTATAGTCTAGCTTATAGTCTAGTCTATAGTTCAGCCTATACGATAGTCTATAGTCTAGTCTATAGTCTAGCTTATAGTCTAGCTTATAGTCTAGCTTATAGGCTAGTCTATAGTTCAGTCTATACTCTAGTCTATAGTCTAGTCTATAGTCTAGTCTATAGTCTAGTCTATAGTCTAGTCTATAGTCTAGTCTAGTCTAGTCTATAGTCTAGTATAGTCTAGTCTATAGTCTAGTCTATAGTCTAGTCTATAGTCTAGTCTATAGGTCTAGTCTATAGTCTAGTCTATAGTCTAGTCTATAGTCTAGTTAGTCTATAGTCTAGTCTATAGTCTAGTCTATAGTCTAGTCTATAGTCTAGTCTATAGTCTACTATAGTCTAGTCTATAGTCTAGTCTAGTCTAGTCTAATCTATAGTCTAGTCTATAGTCTAGTCTATAGTCTAGTCTATAGTCTAGTCTATAGTCTAGTCTATAGTCTAGTCTATAGTCTAGTCTATAGTCTAGTCTATAGTCTAGTCTAGTCTATAGTCTAGTCTATAGTCTAGTCTATAGTTAGTCTAGTCTAGTCTGTAGTCTAGTCTATAGTCTATAGTCTAGTCTAGTCTAGTCTATAGTCTAGTCTATAGTCTAGTCTAGTCTATAGTCTAGTCTAGTCTAGTCTATAGTCTAGTCTAGTCTAGTCTAGTCTAGTCTAGTCTAGTCTAGTCTAGTCTAGTCTAGTCTAGTCTAGTCTAGTCTAGTCTAGTCTAGTCTAGTCTAGTCTAGTCTAGTCTAGTCTAGTCTAGTCTAGTCTAGTCTAGTCTAGTCTAGTCTAGTCTAGTCTAGTTAGTCTAGTCTAGTCTAGTTCTAGTCTCGTCTAGTCTAGTCTAGTCTAGGCTAGTCTAGTCTGATAGTCAGTCTATAGTCTAGTCTATAGTCTAGTCTATCGTCTAGTCTATAGTCTAGTCTATAGTCTAGTCTATAGTCTAGTCTATAGTCTAGTCTATAGTCTAGTCTAGTCTAGTCTAGTCTATTCATAGTCTAGTCTATAGTCTAGTCTATAGTCTAGTCTATAGTCTAGTCTATAGTCTAGTCTATAGTCTAGTCTAGTAGCTAGTCTATAGTCTAGTCTATAGTCTAGTCTATAGTCTAGTCTATAGTCTAGTCTATAGTCTAGTCTATAGTCTAGTCTTAGTCTAGTCTTATAGTCTAGTCTATAGTCTAGTCTATTCTGTCTAGTCTCTAGTCTAGTCTATAGTTCTAGTCTATAGTCTAGTTATAGTTAGTCTATAGTCTAGTCTATAGTCTAGTCTATAGTCTAGTCTATAGTCTAGTCTATAGTCTAGTCTATAGTCTAGTCTATAGTCTAGTCTATAGTCTAGTCTATAGTCTAGCTATAGTCTAGTCTATAGTCTAGTCTATAGTCTAGTCTATTATAGTCTAGTCTATAGTCTAGTCTATAGTCTAGTCTATAGTCTAGTCTATAGTCTAGTCTATAGTCTAGTCTATAGTCTAGTCTATAGTCTAGTCTATAGTCTAGTCTATAGTCTAGTCTATAGTCTAGTCTATAGTCTAGTCTATAGTCTAGTCTATAGTCTAGTCTATAGTCTAGTCTATAGTCTAGTCTATAGTCTAGTCTATAGTCTAGTCTATAGTCTAGTCTATAGTCTAGTCTATAGTCTAGTCTATAGTCTAGATAGTCTAGTCTATAGTCTAGTCTATAGTCCAGCCTATAGTCTAGTCTATAGTCTAGTCTATAGTCTAGTCTATAGTCTAGTCTATAGTCTAGTCTATAGTCTAGGCTATAGTCTAGTCTATAGTCTAGTCTATAGTCTAGGCTATAGTCTAGTCTATAGTCTAGTCTATAGTCTAGTCTATAGTCTAGTCTATAGTCTAGTCTATAGTCTAGTCTATAGTCTAGTCTATAGTCTAGTCTATAGTCTAGTCTATAGTCTAGTCTAGTATAGTCTAGTCTATAGTCTCTAGTCTAGTCTATAGTCTAGTCTATAGTCTAGTCTATAGTCTAGTCTATAGTCTAGTCTATAGTCTAGTCTATAGTCTAGTCTATAGTCTAGTCTATAGTCTAGTCTATAGTCTAGTCTATAGTCTAGTCTATAGTCTAGTCTATAGTCTAGTCTATAGTCTAGTCTATAGTCTAGTCTATAGTCTAGTCTATAGTCTAGTCTATAGTCTAGTCTATAGTCTAGTCTATAGTTTATAGTCTAGTCTATAGTTTATAGTCTAGTCTATAGTCTAGTCTATAGTTTATAGTCTAGTCTATAGTCTAGTCTATAGTTTATAGTCTAGTCTATAGTCCAGTATATAGTCGAGTCTATAGTCCAGTATATAGTCGAGTCTATAGTCTAGTATATAGCCCAATCTATATTCTAGTCTATATGCATTCTGGTCTATAGTCTAGTCCATAGTTAAGAGTATAGTCTAGTCTATAGTCTAGAATACACCCTAAAATATAGCCTAGGGTAGAGCCTTGATTTAAGTCTCGAATAGAGATTAAATTAGAACTGAACTGGAAGTGAACAAGAACTGAACTAGAGGTAAACCTTGGTGCCATATTTATTACAACTCACTTCTGGCTGGAAGCTAGTTTTATGATATCCAGGCCCGTTTTGTCTCCCAAAATTGTCTCCGCTCGACAATTTTCATTAATTTTTCTGAAATTTTAATATTTAAATAAGTACTGGAAACAAAAAAATTATTTTTTTAACTTTAAGTACAATATATTTTCCTTTCAAACCAACATTTGTATGTATGTGTGCATGCCAGTCTGTCTATCCCCAATATTTGGTACTGTAAATTTATGTATGCAAACACAATTTTAATTTCAAGATTTCATGTCTAGTTTAAGACTAACAAAACACACATCCTTAAGTACAAATAAAATTAGCAAGTTTGTCTATCAGTCTAAGTAAATTTCGTAAAATTTAATTTCATATTAAAGTATTAATTCCAAACAGTTTTTGATGTGATGTGTGTATATTTTACTAAGACTAGTCGCAAAAATGACATGCACAAATTATTAAATGTCATTATTAATGGATTAATGCCTAGTGGGGTCGTAAAAAAAATGGGAACTACGTAAGATGCTATAATGTGTCAACGACACGTTTATCCACATTGTATTCCAAGTTATTCTTCCTTCTATTTTATAACATACAATATAATATGAGTTTGTAAACGATATATATAACACATACATACACACATACATATGTATTTATGAGTGTATATAATACTCAAAAGATACAGTTTTAATATGACTTAAGACCAACAAGTATTTGTATATGAATTATCAAAAATAAAGTTGTTAGAAATTAAAAGCTTTTAAAGAGCTAAAAGGATTGACTTGATATTTACTTAATATCAAGTTTAACAAGAATGTCTTTATCTATTTTAATTTGTATTTCTAATCAAATTGTTTATTGGGTTATATAGCTATACATACAAACAGACATTTTTAATATAAATAAATTCCCTTAGCTCACTCTGGTGGGTGTGTTTATTATGATAATATTGTTGTAGAAAGCAAAATACACAAAATAGTAGAAGAAAAAAACAAAAAAAAGAAATAATATTAATATTGATATTGATATAAAGTGCAAACATTTATACCTCAAGGTTTAATAAGTACCGAAGGATAAACTCATAACAACACACAACTCACTCCTTGCCCGAGGCATGCAACAGAAATCATTAACCATTTCAATATCATAATAAAGAATGACTTAAGTCAATGACAGTCAGTTGCTTTTAAGAACTTAAGCATTTAAAGTAATTTTTTTCTCTCTATTCTCTTCTAATCTTTTACAGGATCCCAGCAAACGTACAAAACCCTCAACACTGCGTCGCACTTTAAATGCCCTGCGTCAACGTTTAACGAAACGTAATCGTTCGAAACCGCCCGATTGGTTTCTTGAACGTTTCTCTAATACCACAAATACCGACAAGATTGGTAAAACACCACCAGCCGACAATAATAATGATGGCAGCAACACAAATCCTGCCGATTCGGGTCCAGCATGTGAGATACGTGGTTCGAGTCGTTTATGTAATCGTTTGTCGGTTAATCCTACTTTACAGTCACATTATCGGGTAAGTTTTAGAAGTACTCTTATTCATACTAAAAAATATTAAAAAATTTCCTTATTTCTAGTGGCTGGCAATTGTCTCCTTAGCTGTGTTATACAATATCATTTTTGTAGTGGGTCGCTCTGTATTTTGGGAAATAATCTGCGAGCCACACCAGTATGGTATTTCTTAGATTATTTATGTGATTTTATTTATCTATTGGATACGCTGGTTCATATGCATGAAGGTATGTAGATTTTATGATTTAAATATAATTTTCGATAGTTATCCAAAGACGAAAAAAGATCCGCTGAACCATATTGAAATCTATAATTCAATATATAGTTGATTCTGGACTTACATAATCCATAGATGTAAAGTCAATAGCCTAGTCTATAGTCCGGTATGTAGTCAAATCTATAGCCTAATCTAAGCATAATCTATGGTGTAGTCTAGAACATAGTATAGTCTATAGTATTGCCTAGTCTAGTCTATAGTCTAGTCTATAGTCTAGTCTATAGTCTAGTCTATAGTCTAGTCTATAGTCTGGTCTATAGTCTAGTCTATATAGTCTATAGTCTAGTCTATATAGACTATATAGTCTAGTCTATAGTCTAGTTTATAGTCTAGTCTTTAGTCTAGTCTATAGTCTAGTCTATAGTCTAGTTATAGTCTAGTCTATAGTCTAGTCTATAGTCTAGTCTATAGTCTAGTCTATAGTCTAGTCTATAGTCTAGTCTATAGTCTAGTCTATAGTCTAGTCTATAGTCTAGTCTATAGTCTAGTCTATAGTCTAGTCTTTAGTCTAGGACTATAGTCTAGTCTATAGTCGAGTCTAAAATCTAGTCTATAGTCTAGTCTAGGACTATAGACTAGGACTATAGTCTAGTCTAGACTATAGTCTAGTCTAGTCTAGTCTATAGTCTATCGTCTAGTCTATAGTCTAGTCTATAGTCTAGTCTATAGTCTAGTCTATAGTCTAGTCTATAGTCTAGTCTATAGTCTAGTCTATAGTCTATTCTATAGTCTAGTCTAAGTCTAGTCTATAGTCTAGTCTAGCTAGTCTAGTCTAAGCCTAGTCTATAGTCTAGTTATAGTCCTAGTCTATAGTCTAGTCTATAGTCTAATCTATAGTCTAGTCTATAGTCTAGTCTATGGTCTAAGTCTATAGTCTAGTCTACTAGTCTAGTCTATAGGTCTAGTCTATAGTCTAGTCTACAGTCTAGTCTATAGTCTAGTCTATAGTCTAGTCTATAGTCTAGTCTATAGTCTAGTCTATAGCCTAGTCTATAGTCTAGTCTATAGTCTAGTCTATAGCCTAGTCTATAGTCTAGTCTATAGTCTAGTCTATAGTTAGTCTATAGTCTAGTCTATAGTCTAGTCTCTAGTTAGTCTAGTCTAGTCTATGTCTAGTCATAGTCTAGTCTATAGTCTTAGTCTATAGTCTAGTCTATAGTCTAGTCTATAGTCTAGTCTATAGTCTAGTCTATAGTCTAGTCTATAGTCTAGTCTATAGTCTGTCTATAGTCTAGTCTATAGTCTAGTCTATAGTCTAGTCTATAGTCTAGTCTATAGTCTAGTCTATAGTCTAGTCTATAGTCTAGTCTATAGTCTAGTCTATAGTCTAGTCTATAGTCTAGTCTATCGTATTATAGTCTATAGTTAGTATGATATCTATTCTACAGTCTGTCTGTAATCTAGTCTACAGTCTATGTTAGTTGTAGTGTGTCCTTAGTCTAGTCATTAGTCTAGTCTAGAATCTAATCTATAGCCTAGTCTATAGTCTAGTCCAAAGTCTAGTATTTATTCTAGTCTGTAGTTTAGTCTATATTATAATCTAGGCTATAGTCCAGCTAGTCTCTATTCTGTAGTCTAGCCCATAGTATATTATATTGT